ATTCTGGTATATTTAATACTTATCATCCCCAGTTGATCTTGCTGGCCAGGTCCACAGAGCCTTGGTGTCACAGGCTCATGGTTGCAAGGATCTTGGTGCAAAGTTTTTGAGCTACGACCAGGAATTCAACGTGGGCAGAGTGGCCATGAAATGGCATGGGCTGATTGGATTGGCTTATCCCGCATTGAAGAGCCGAACCATCGAGTGTCAGCTGATGTGCATCATTAGCCGTAGCTATGACAACAGAGCCAAAATTGAAGCAGGTTCAATCGATGTGGGACCTCATCAATGTGCGGGGTTGCTGCAATACATTGAATACTATTCAGGGAGCGCCAAACTTTCGCAGAAACTGATCGAATCCGGTCTCCGGGGGCCCATCTTTGACATACTCTACAATGACGAACACAACATGTTGCTGGCGAAAGAGTTGCGTTTGTTTCTGGATGCGGACACAGCGTGTGAGAAGAAGGCTTTGCATTGGTGAGGCACACCGTGCTCCTCTTTTGTCATTATGTGCTCCTTTCATGCCCTACGTGCTGAAAGCAACGGCTGGGAAGGCTCATGGACTGAGCGGGACTTTGTATTGCAGGGAAATTGTCGGACCCTTGTTTGCTCACTTGGGATTTTCCTGGGTTGGGCATGTGACTGCTGCCCTGTGCTGGAACAGCGTGTGTCAAAACAGTTCTGTCCCTTTGTGGCTTCGAAAACACTTGCACCTACATGGGTGCATTTAACGGGAAGTCAGTGAAGCCCTTGCAACTGTGGCATTTGCCTGGGTTTGATTTTGAGAACCTGGCCAGGCCCAGACCAGATCATAATGCTTTCATTGGTCTGGTAAGCCGAAGCGAAGACTGGCCGCTTCACGGGTATGTGCAGATATACAGGCTAGTGGAGAATACACTGCACAATTCGGGGAAGCAGTTGCGCAGATTGTCAGAAATCTGACATAAGTAGTTCGGTGTACATTCTGAAATGACAGTGAGTGCTTGGAAAATTTGCGGTCACTCAGTGCGAGTCTCTTCCACAGCAGTGTGTTCCAAATTCTTCCTGTGGGCCGAGTGCAGGTCCTGTGGGCCACGAGTCACAACCCTTGCAGCTTCTGGCTCTTGCACAGACATCTAGCTTCCTAGCAAAACAATTTGGAGTGCAGGTCCTGCGGGCCACGAGTCCCAACCTTTGCAGCTTCTGGCTCTTACAATTTCGAGTGCGATTTGGGACACGAGTCACGGCCCTTGCAGCCTTGGACTTGCTTTGCTGTCAATTGTAGTTCTGGCTGGAGACGTGGTCAAGCTTTCCTCAGCCTTGCGGCAACCTGTTTGTGTTGACAAGTTGTTCTGAGCTGTGTGAGGAAACAATAATGGACAGCCATCCAATGTGACCCTGCCCGATGTGCCCATGTCGGTGCAAGGGGTCATTGGCAGGGCACAACAGCGCAACAGCACGTTGCACAGACATCTAGCTTCCTAGCAAAACAATTTGGAGTGCAGGTCATGTGGGCCACGAGTCACAACCTTAGCAGCTTCTGGCTCTTGCACAGACATCTAGCTTCCTAGCAAAACAATTTGGGGTGCAGGTCCTGCGGGCCACGAGTCACAACCTTTGCAGCTTCTGGCTCTTACAATTTCGATCGCAATTTGGGACACGAGTCACGGCCCTTGCAGCCTTGGACTTGCTTTGTTGTCAAGTGTAGTTTTGGCTGGAGACGTGGTCAAACTTTCCTCAGCTTTGCGGCAACCTGTTTGTGTTGACAGGTTGTTCTGAGCTGTGTGAGGAAACAATAATGGACAGCCGTCCAATGTGACCTTGCCCGACGTGCCCATGTCGGTGCAAGGGGTCATTGGCATGGCACAACATGCGCAACAGCACCTGCAAACACCGGCTTGGACAGAAAAATAAAATACTAACTTTTTCATGACATTCTCAATAACAGCACCTGTAAGCACCGGCTTGGACAGAAATATACAAGAAATTTTTCATGAATTCTCAATACCAGCACCTGTAAACACCGGCTTGGACAGAATGTTGGTGCATTCACCACAAATATAACAGACTTCTTTCTCAATTTGTTCAGTGTCTGCAAATCTCCAGTTACATTACTGCTGGACGAACCCAACGTGTTGCACAATATCCTATAGGTCTTTCTTCAAGTTGACTTCTGATTTTGATAACTTTTGTGTTTTCCAAGCCCCAAGATCCAACCCCCAAGGACCCAACCCTCAAAACGAGCGTGTTGAGTCCTGAGGGACATATTTAATCGAAGCCTATCCCGTGTAACATCCGACTTGTGCATGAAAATAGGCTTCTTGATTTTAGTAGATCAACAGGCTACGCGGAGAAAGGCCATATGGGATATCGGAAGGCCGATTATCGGCTGGGACCGCCGTGGCAGCGGCTGAATCGGCAGAGGCTGCATGTGCTTCCTGAAGGCGAGTCAAAGTACGCGGCGTCAGGGTCTGGAGCCAATCGGCCAAAGGGTCCCGATCAGAGGCCATGGCTAGGCTGGCTAAAGAACTGCCCATAAGTGGGACTGGAAAGGTGCTGCAGCGGTCATGTCTATGCCGAATCATACGGAAACTTAGCAAAGCGCAAAGTGCGACAGGTGTCCTGTGCATTCAATGGTGTGGCGGTGCGAAGGCCTGAACAGAGGCTAGGGCAAAGGGCATGACCATGGCGAGACAGCCCCGCCTAAGGCCAGTCTGTGAGTAAGCAAATGAGCAGTGTAAGCACAGACCGTAGAGGGCCGCAGTTTTTTATGCTGCAAGGCTGCCAATGCTAGGCCTCGGGGTCTCCTTCGGAGTCCAGCCAGGCTGTAGGCCCGTGATACTGGAGTGAATCTACGGCTGCATCTGAGGCGCGGGCAGCTGGACCTGAGGGCAAAAGGCTAATCCGTGACATCACGATGAGAAACTTTTTTTCGTGGTTTTCTTGGCTAAGCAAAGCCAAAGGCAACCAGGCAGGGCCGCCAACATAAAGCAAAATGCGGGGCCTGACGGTACCTGAGAGCAAAAAGTTTTGAAGGCGGGGTCCAGGAGGCTGCCCCGAGGCACCTGGCAAAGGAAAGGCTGCCTGAAGGCTTGGCAGGTGCCACGAGTAAGGCAAAATGCGAAGAGGCACAAAGAACAAAGCGACATCGGCTGCTCGCGCATGAGGCAAGAGCAAGGCATCGCGAGCGGCTGCCGGGTGCGAAAGGCTGAGAGCAGGCTGAAGTATGAGCGACAGCGGAGCACCTGGCCAAGGACCTGGCCGGTGGGCAGTACCTAAATGATCAATTCCAAAACATGCTGATGGCATTCATCATTGGCTAGGGCAAGGGGGAGCCACTCATGCACTGGTAAAAAGGACAAAATGCGAGGGCAAACAGTCCAGGCAAAAAGGAATTCCTGGAGGCAAGGCTCCAAGGGCTGTCCCTCATGAGGGGCTAAGGCAAAACACTCGCGGAAGGTAACCATGTACCACTCCCACGAATGCGCGGCTAAGGCAACCGGGGCGAAGACAAATCCTGGGGGACGAACGCACCGAGGAGGCAAAGGCCTGGGCGAATCAGGCGCGGCGGCAAGTTGTGTAATGGGCACAACTAAGGAAACCGGCAGCATGGCGGCGCACTACAGCTTTAGCTGACTACTGGAGCAGTAGCTCGAGGCTACTCTCGCTTTTCGAGAACTGATGTGCTAGAGCCCGGCTACACGTAGGCATGTAGGTGTGACAAGCGTGTAGAGATTCACAAGCACCGAAAACAGTCCTGAAACAAAACAGGTAACGAGGGTTGCAATCATAAGGGTCATCCGGGTATGTGTTCCCAGAGCTGCTCTCGTATCCCTTCACCGCGTTCTCGAATGCCAAAAGCTGCTCGTGAAGGCTTCCCTCTTTGAAGACCCAGCCAGCCAATTGCCGGACTATTGCCAGTGAGCCCGCTCCTTGGGTTCCATCTCCCGCTTCACAAGACGGAGTCCTTCCAGGCCGTTCCGGTCTTCCTGGGCCCTCACAATAAGCAAAGGTCGGCCCCGAAGATAGGTGCAAAGAACTCCAAACAACTTTTGGCTCCGGGCTGCAGCTTCATCACTTAGCAAAACATGGCTCACAGCCACATCTACGTCGATGCCCGTGATATCATCCTCAAACTCCTCGTCATGTGCCACCAGCCAAGTGATCAGCTGGACGGGACTGAGGCCCAGACCTCCAGCTTCAAAGCCTTGGTGAGACCTTCGCTCTTGTTGCCAGTCGCTTGCTTCTCCGCTGCCTCAGCGGCCCTTTGTGTTGCTGTCAGCGCCTTGCCGAAAACAGACCCAAAAGCCTGCTCCAGGCGCTGCCTGACCACTGCATCCACTTGCTCCTGAAAACTCTGGGCCGTGCTCGGCCCCGCTGCCGCCTCAGTTGGGCCTGCTGCTGCTGTGGCGACCCATCTGCTTGTGACATCTCCTTCGAAAACCCTCTGCACCGACCAAGATGTGAAAACCTCTCAGCTGCACACCCAGCCAGTGACAACCAGCCAGAAACCTTTCTCCACTTGCACGGCCCTCCAAGCCCACACGCGCTGATCCACTGCTCCCAAGGCTCTCCACGCCCACACGCGCTGAACCACTGTGCCCACTGCTGTCCACACTCACAGGCCCTGGAAAGAAAAACTTCCTCCAGTGTTTTACGACAAAGCAACCACTGGATTGCGGGTGGGCCAACGAATTCGGAGCCTCCCAGTCTGCAGGCACAGCAAAGTGCAGTTGCAGAAGAAAAGAGCTCTTATCGGGTGAAACGTGGGGTTCCAGGAGCCTCGGGCTTAATTCTAGAAGGTCCGCTGGAACACCAAAGGTGCTCCGCTACCATGCAATAATTTTCCCTGATCGCTTGAGGGCTGTCAAATCGCACGTGAGTAGTGAAGCAATGCTTACGTATGCACTCCCGGCGTGAACATCCTGCTTTACAAGTAGCGCTCTGGGGAAGCAATAGTCTTTCAAATCAGAGAAACAGGAATCACAGTACGTTTACGGAGTCCCTCAGCAATCAGCCTCGCGGCCAGTGGGTCGCAGTCCAAGTCGAAAAGCGCCCTCGTGACCTCTGGCAGTTCCCCATCCTTTTCACACATGTTCCCAGATATCCAATAGCGGTTCACCTCTATGGCTGTCTGTGGAGCTTGCGTTTCTTACGACCCGCACCACCGCTACCACCGTTGTCACCTCCATCACCAATAGCGCCGCAAGAGTCCACTACCACTTTCTCTGCCAGAACTGGCACTACCTCGACCAGGTCATGACCCGAGCTGCAGCTGCTCCGAGCCGCGACGGCGACCACGAGCAACAGCCCCGTACAGACAAGTACAACAAATCCTGCTAGCATCACTTCTGCTATGTCGCTTCGCTGTTGCTGCTGATCAAGCTCATCGTTTGCAAACATCCACGGTACTACTTCTATAGGCAACGGCTTCGGGGTTTCAGAGCTCGGACAGGCTACTGTTTGGTAGCACTTGTCGCCCGATCACCAAGGAGACCAACACCATAGCTGCCGTTTCTCAACAAACAGAGTCTCAGAGATCGGGCAGAATCTACAGATCGGAACGTTACATGCCTAAGCGCTGTGACTGAAGACGGTTTCGCTGGGCTGAAGCTTTTCAGGTTTAGGGTGCCCAAGCTCCATGCATGAGCGAGGAGTGTTGACCAAATCTTGGCTCAGCCTTTAAGGAAACGAGAGCCTCGAGCTCAGAGTTTTAACTTCAAGGCTGGGGGCACCTGAGAGCAGCCGGAGAGCGCGCCTTCTCGTGCTCCGAGTGAGTGCGAGATCGGGCTGGCAGGGATCTTCCTGCAAGGCCCATGGAAGGCTTGAGAAGTTCACAGTCACAGGCCGCCCGCTGGAAATAAACTGTGTTGGGGCCCAGTAGTTTGGTAGTTGAGCCTTTGCAGCTTGCTCAAGATGATTGCGACGGTGATCTTCATATTGATATCGTTGCTGATGATGCTGATGACGATGATGATGAGGCGGCGGCTGAGGAGGCGGACAACGACGAGACGCTCTCGGTCGTCCTTCAGAATCTCCAAAGGCGCTTGTGGCACCTGGCTGAAGCGTAACTCGTGACGCTCAAGTGTGGAAGTCAGGCCCCAACCTGAAAAAAAACTGCATCTGGTTAACTTTTCGGGCTTTTGAGCCATACCAGACCAAAAACCTCAAAATTACAAACGTAACTCTGAAGCCATGTCGCCAAATCGTAAACTGTAGGTTCCCTTCGGCCTTCACACGCGGACCGAAGCAACAGTTTAATGAAGCTGCACACACAAGCAAACGATTCTCCGCCCCTCCCCTTCAATAAAAAGGCTGCTCTTGTTCAAGGGCACCCTTGGACAGCAGCCCCGAGCCAGCAGGCCGGCTGCAGTCCCCAGAGCGGGCCGAGTTCCTAGGACTCGAATTGGTTTAAAGTTCAGAGTTTAGGGTTTAGCCGGGCGGGTCTTCGTGCAAAGCGTAGTTCAATCTCGGACGTACGTACAAGGTCTACAGGAGGGCTTTCGCGGTTTCTTGTGCAGTTTATCGGGGTCTCCGATTGGTAGGGTCTCCCTCTGTCGGCTTTCGGCAGTGTAGGCTTGAGGGTTTAAGCATTTGCTTCAGGTTTAAAGCTCCCGGGAGCAGTGTGTAGGGTTTTGCCCGAGGTTTAGGCTGTCTTACAGATTCTTAGGGTTGTAGACATTTATGGGTTTCAAGCTTATAGGGCTTCATGTGTGAGGTTTAGGGTGGGTCTGGCTGCAAGCACACTTATAGCTTCAAAGCGGCGGGATGTAGGTTGGGAAATTCTGAGTGTTGGTGGCGTTTCTCCCCAAAAGATTCAAGTCTTGGTGCTCCCTTCAAGACTTGGATGGTTAAAAGAGCACGACACCTTCGATAGCTTTGATGCATCACTCTGCACAGCCATCCTTGCACACAGAAACCTCCCCCCTACCCCAGAAAAACAATGCCACACCTTCTTCCAACCCTGCATAACCCTGCGAAAACACACCTGAATCCTGAGGCAGTTGGCAACGGCGGAAAAGATTCCGACGAAACTACCTTCCCGAAATGGTGAGGTCCTGAACCGAACCTAACAGCCTTCTCCCCAAAATCAATTCAGGGTTTGGCTCCGGATTGACAATCTTACGGATAGAAACACCATGAGTTATGACACCCGAAGTGTGCGCAACACCCACTCAACAACGCAAAGCTTGAAGGGTAGGGGTCGACACCAAGGCAACGTTAAACTGTCTACAAAGACTGGGCCCATCCGACAGAACCACTAGAAACCTGTACATCGCGACAAACCGCACCAAATCCCATGGCTTTGCAAAGCGTCGGCTCAAAGCTGTCCTGGCTGACAGTACCTGAGTAGCAGCACAACATGTGACCGGTTCGAAGTCTTCCCAAGACTTGGACTGGTGACGCCAACACCACCTCCAACAAGAAAACCACGCAAAAGCAAACAGCATCAAATATGATACAAAAGAAAGGCAACGGAAGCTACAATAACTACGCTGCTAGAGAAAACGACGACGACCACCACCCACTAACACCGCCACCAACACTAGTGTCTCCAACACCACCACGAGCACTTCAAAAGCATGGTCATCTTGCCAGATTTCGGGAATCGAAGGTTGCAGCCAGATTGCCCGGCAGGTTTCGACGGCTAGACATGTGGGCATGTGGGTTCTCATGGGTTCTTTGGATTTCGATCTTCTCAACGACCATTTTGTGAAAAGTCAGAAGGTGGGGACCATTTACGTCGATTTACGTGGCTTCTGCGAACCCGGCCAAACCGCTCGCCTAACTGCAGGCCAATGACTTGAAGCTCAGAATCATCCTAACCCCAGCAATCAAAGTGCATCCAAGCTGCGCAACGTGGCGCAACTTCGGAGGACGGCGCGCGCGGGCTCCTCGGCCTGCCGAAGAATTCGTGGGTTGATGGGTTTCTGAATTAGGGATGCCCCCCCCGGTTTTGAAGCTTTCGGGTCTATGCACTGTAGGCTTCCGGACTGCTGAGAGGGAGGCCTTAATGGGTTTCGGGTCAAAAACATGGAACCACTTTCCCATCTTTCGAAACGGATGTGATTAAGGTGACGGCTTTGGGGAGCTGGAACTTGAACCATGTACATGAACACATAAGCCCCCACAAATGGCGCCATGCAAAACTACACCCACTCGCCTAAAGGCACGGTCGCAAATTCGAAAACACGCCAGTACAAGCTTGCCAGGGGGAAGAGAGTCAGTCGGTGTTGAGATTTGATTAGTGATCGGCGGGAAATTGCCTCCCGCTCATCAGATGTTATCATGCAAGCGAGCAGAAAACGGTGCTAGAGGGTGGTGTGCAGCAATTGCACTGCAAAAGGTGCAGCTCTTCTCGCTGCGTAGCCGCCTGGTTGCGGACTCGGCTCACACCGGGCAAACCGGGCAGTTCGTTGCACAGACATTTTCAAAACTCGTCAAAGGAAGCATGTTTGGACCGCGTGAACATGACGGCGGAAGCAAACAGTGCCTTCTGAAGACATGGGTTCCAGAACAGGAGTGCTTGGCTCCAGTTCCATCTACCTTAGTTCTGCCGTCCACTGCTCCAGCCGTGGCGATCACTGATTTGCCTTTGCCCTCGCCTTTCCCGGAAGAAGATGTGCAGCTTACTTTGGCGGCGACTGGCGTGATCGCTCAACTGATTTCAAATGGAACTCGACGGTCTCCTGAGCAGAGGGTCATCGTTGCGGGTAAGGACCTGTAGTCGTGCGCGACTGTGCCGGGATCATCCCCATTGAAATCTTGGTAGGCGTGGCCAAATGTGAACAACCAGATACCGCCACATCCTCGGCCCCGGCAAGGACGCTAGTCCCGAGAAACAACACGACGCCATTGATGTATGGTATGTCGATGAGCAATGTGGCTGACAGTCGAGCTTGCACCACGGCCAGATTTCTTAGATGCATAGTGCGCCCGGGAAGTGGGTATTGTCCTTGTTGAAGCGGTCCGAAATCGATGATGCGTACCGCTTCGCTATGCCTTGTTGCAAGCAGCACGGTTCGATGGAGCAAACATCAAGTTTTTCGAACAGGGCTTGGCGACCGCGAGTGAACACAATCCTGCGTCCTGAAGGTTTCATCCGGACCACTGAACCATTTCAGCTGAAGCAGGTGTGCTGTCCCTAAAATCTGTTACCATAAGGCAGCGCGGTCTAAGAACGCAGCATGCTGCAGGTGACAGTGCCAGAGCTGACGCATAGCGTGCAGGGCCAGGAAGAACGAGCGATCGCTGTACGGCTGGCGGGAAGCTTCCCCTCGGCGCGGAATGCATGTGCGTATTGTGAACAGCTCATTTCCGACATTTGGCAAAGTCCTCTTCTATCATCCTACATTTGACCTCATTCTCGTCTACTTATATGAGAATGATGGCTGGTCCAAGTTGAAACCATGACAAGGGATGAGATTGGATCTTTGAAGCCCTGGACATGGTCCGGCTCACTTCTTTGGAAAATATCTCGGTCACCACTATAACGAATAGGGAACAGACCAATGTCAAACTTGACCGTAGCACGCCACCCTGTGCCCTTTGTGCGACAAGGATGCCGCCGTCGCCGCTGGAGGAGACTCCGAGCCGAAGCGAAACGAAGATCTAGACCCTGCGACCCCGCTATCGCCATCAAGCACCATAAGTACCCCCGCAAGCATTTGTATGCGCCAAGTGAAGAAAATCTCAAGCAGGTCCGTACCTTGTGAATGAGCGATTCATTGTTTTTGATCAAGGAGATATGTCCAGGACGACTACAATCTGGGACGTTCTGCCAGGCGTGGTGAATGGTTTACAGGACGCACCTTGTACTCACCTTGTTTGCTATCACCCGCTGTTTCTTCTGAATTTTTCAGTACAGCCGCATCTGCCCGAAACGGCAAGCCTGTGTGTAGCCAATCTGAAGCAAATTGCGAAGGCAGCAAAGGGGTTCAAGAGCGTGGATACCATCGTCCAAGAAGCCATCCCCGATGGAGAAACCTGTGAACGTCAAATCCTACGATATGACAAATTCCCTTGTTTCGCGTGTCGCAATGTATTGTGAACTTGCCATGGTCTTTCGTGAGTGTGTGAAGTTTGCACAAACGCCGTTTCATGAGAGCAAAACCGCCCAACCTGTCGATGACAACGAGGCTCAACGGCGGGTACAGCCGACAACAAGTAGAGTGCTCACGAAAGCTCTGCATGCAACGAGGGTGGCTAAGCGGGGTGCACTGCGCTGGGTCCAATCGCTAAAGTAAACTAGCATTACAAATTCCAATGTTGAGACCGTATTGGTGGCAGCAAATCGTGGAACACGCAATCACGGCTTGTCTAGCTTAATCTTCCGGCGGTACTTGCAAAAGGAAGCAACAGCCAAGGCAGCCGGTCGCACGACCAAGACCTTAATGCAACGAGTGACGAAAAGTGACCTTGAGTTTGATGAGATCCGTTATGGCGAAGCTGACCATGAATGATTAGGACAAGTTCAATGTTCAGCTTCTCGAAGATAACCAAGCAGCGATTACCACCGTCCAGAACTAGATGATAAGCCGGGACACGCTGGCACCTCAAAAGCAACCTGCAACGATTGAAGAACGCCGCGCCGCGTTCCTTGCATTTGGACATGCCTCTGTCTTTGCGACACCCCGCACATTTTGGGGTCCGGTAGGGACTCCTTGGCTTGTTGTTGTTCTGAGTAGAGGGGCTCGCTCGACGTAGCAGCCGCTGTTGGAGGAGCACGGGCTTTGTCCTCATGAATGAATCTGTATCTTTTCATCCAAAGTTTCACAGAGAAGGTTGCAAAAGCATCGCTGAGTTTAACGGTTTAACCAGCTTCCTACTTTTTCACATGTTTGAAACTGTTGATGAAACAGCCGCAACACTTGGCGTCTCCGCACAGCTCTTCCCGCTGTAGCTTCAGTCATTCAATAACCAATAGTTGTGTTGACAGCTGTCTTCGCAATGCGTGTCCGTGCCAATAAAAACTCGGTATCTCGCGTAGGCAGCTTACCTGTGCTCCGATGTGATTCTCAAGTGGCATCCTTGGTGCATGGTTCTAGAATCCGGTTGATAACCTTGTCAAGCCGATCGTTTGCTCCTCTCACCATTTCTCTCGCCGAAATCTTCCATGAACGGTGAGTTTCCGAGTTTGGGTGCTCCGGCAGCTTCACTCCTCTTCGCTAGTTTTCGGCTGGAGCAGCTTAGGGGCCTGCAGCAACGTTGCGGCATTTAGGCCAATCCCCCCGCTCGGCAAACCTGGTATGAAGGTCGGCACACCCGTTTGGGCTGCATTGGCTGCAAAGTGGGTTCCCACTTGAGCCTGGCTATCCTTTGCAACAGATATTTTTTTGGCTGTCCTGAGCTTGCTTTTGGCGCCTCCCCCTGATACGGCTCCCGGAGAATCGGTATGGAAGTTGAAGGTGTTGCTTGTTCCGGAACACGTGTTGGATCCGCGATAGCTTGCTCTAGCCCTTGTCTTGCTCCGACTTCCACGTTCAAGGAGCGTTCCGCCTATTCAACCTGTAGCCTGCCATTCTGTGCTCTCTCCTCATCGAACCATGCTGCGATTGACTTGAACACTTCTTTGGTTAGAAGATTAACAAATCAACAAATTGTGTTGTTCTAGAAAGGCTTGCACTGCTCTATCACTTGCTGCCATCTTTTATACCGTATTGGATCTGTGAGGCTCTGCGGCTAGCCCGGAGGTGCCAAGGTCAAAAGGGCTAGCCAAGGCATAAACTCCCCCAAGGCTAGTCTTTGTGAGAAGTCCGTGAAACTTCTGAAAGGCAAAATGCCGGCAAGCTCCAAGGGAGCGTGAAATTAGATCTCAGAGTCTGAGAAGCTGCAAGGCTGCATAGTAGCCGAACAGGCGAGGCCCTGAGTAAGGCAAAAGGCTATCGTCTGGACCTGAGGCAGGACAAGAACGCTCCGTGAAACATACGACCAGGTGAGAAAGCTCGTCAGTTCGGAACGTGGAAGCCAAAGAAGACGTTGTGGAGCACGTAGATGTAGTACCTGACAGGGCGGGTTCGGGCGGGCAACCGAAAGGTTTAGGGAACTAGGGAGCACGACATAGGGCAGGCTCGGCGAGGCCAGCAGGCTAGACGGCGAACCTGAGGCAAGCCACCGTGGCAGAGGAGCAGGCTCAACTTGTGTGAGCAGCGGGCCTCGCTGGAGGACCGCCAGGAGCTGAAGGCTCGTTGGCTGGCTGTGACGCTCAGTGTGTTCAAGGCTGAACTAAGAAAGGCCATGCAGAAGGCTGAGGCCGGGGCCGAAGGCGCTAAGCCTAGGTGTGGGCGGGTGGGGCTTTTCGAGAAAACTCAAGTGCTAGAGCCAGTGCTGCGATGTGCTATAGATTCACATGCCTTCTAAAACATACGTGAACAAAAACACGAAACGTTCTAGAAAGGCTTGCACTGCTCTATCACTTGCTGCCATCTTTTATACCGTATTGGATCTGTGAGGCTCTGCGGCTAGCCCGGAGGTGCCAAGGTCAAAAGGGCTAGCCAAGGCATAAACGCCCCCACTTCAGGGACAGATCCAACCGGTAAGGCAGCAGGCAAGTATCCCCCACCGCGGGCGGTGGAGTTGGACCTGAGCAAGGCGGGTAACGCACGGCTAGTCAGCGTGCAGTGAGCAAGACGGCTGGCATTCAGAAGGCGTGACTGCGCTTTTTTCTCTCTGCGCGGCTTTGGTGTCTGCATCAGTCCTGTCGGGGCAACAAAGGGCTTTCCCTGCCCGTCGAAGCGGACCAGGTGGCCTGAGAGGCCGCAGAAGCAAGGCGGTCAAGGCTGATCCTGACGCGTTCTTGCGGTCGGTGACTGAAGGCTTGCAGTCGACCGCGGCTAAGGTCGTCTGCCCATTGGTTATGTGCCCCCGCGACGTGGGACACCTGGAGGTCAACGCCATGACA